CCAGGTGTGCCCAGGTGTATCCCAGGTGTGTCCAGGTGTGCCCAGGTGTGCCCAGGTGTATCCCAGGTGTATCCCAGGTGTGCCCAGGTGTATCCCAGGTGTATCCCAGGTGTATCCCAGGTGTGCCCAGGTGTATCCCAGGTGTGCCCAGATGTGCCGAGGTGTGCCCAGGTGTATCCCAGGTGTACCCAGTTGTATCCCAGGTGTGCCCAGGTGCACTCACCTGATGCCCAGGTGTGCCCAGGTGCACTTCACGCCCAAGTGCCGCTTCAAGGAGGGCCCTGGGTGTCCTTGGGTGTACCCAGGTGTATCTCAGGAGTATCCAGGTGTATCCCAGGTGTTCCCAGGTGTATCCAGGTGTGCCCAGGTGTATCCCAGGTGTGCCCAGGTGTGCCCAGGTGTGCCCAGGTGTGTCCAGGTGTGTCCCAGGAGTATCCCAGGTGTATCCCAGGTGTGCCCAGGTGTATCCCAGGTGTGCCCAGGTGTATCCCAGGTGTATCCCAGGTGTGCCCAGGTGTGCCCAGGTGTATCCCAGGTGTACCCAGGTGTGTCCCAGGAGTATCCCAGGTCTATCCAGGTGTGCCCAGGTGTATCTCAGGAGTATCCAGGTGTATCCCAGGTCTATCCAGGTGTGCCCAGGTGTATCTCAGGAGTATCCAGGTGTATCCCAGGTGTGCCCAGGTGTATCCCAGGTGTGCCCAGGTGTGCCCAGGTGTGCCCAGGTGTGCTCAGGTGTGCCCAGGTGTATCCCAGGTGTGCCCAGGTGCCCCCAGGTGTATCCCAGGTGTATCCCAGGTGTATCCCAGGTGTATCCAGGTGTATCCCAGGTGTGCCCAGGTGTGCCCAGGTGTATCTCAGGAGTATCCAGGTGTATCCCAGGTGTGCCCAGGTGTGCCCACCTCACCCCAGGTGTGTTCCAGGTGCACTTCACGCCCGAGTGCCGCTTCAAGGAGGGCGTGTTCCAGAACTACCACGTGCTCTACGCCTCGGCGCTCTACCGGCAGCGCCGCTCGGGCCGCGCCTGGTACCTGGGGCTGGACCGGCACGGGCGGCCCATGGCCGGGCCCCGCGTGCGCAAGGACAAGGCGGCCGCGCACTTCCTGCCCCAGCTGCTCGAGGGTGAGGAAAAACCCAAAATTTGGGAGTTTGCACCCAAAAATTTGGGGTTTGGGACAAAAAAAATGGGGTCAGAAACCCAAAAAATGGGGGTTTGGGACCAAAAATTGGGATGGGAGTGAGCCCACGGTTGGGCGCCGCGTGCGCAAGGACGAGGCGGCCGCGCACTTCCTGCCACAGCTACTCGAGGGTGAGGGAAATAACCAAATTTGGGGGTTTGCACCCAAAAATTTGGGAATTTCAGCCGAAAAAATGGGGTCAGAAACCCAAAAAATGGGGGTTTGGGACCAAAAATTGGGGATTTGGGACAGAAAAATGGAAAAATCATGGATTTTGGACTGAAAATTGGGGATTTGGGATCAAGGATCCAAAATTTGGGGGTTTCGACCCAAAAATTTGGGAATTTCAGCCGAAAATTGGGGTCAGAAACCCAAAAAATGGGGGTTTGGGAGCAAAAATTGGGATGGGAGTGAGCCCATGGTTGGGCGCCATGTGCGCAAGGACAAGGCGGCCGCGCACTTCCTGCCACAGCTGCTCGAGGGTGAGGAAAAACCCAAAATTTGGGGGTTTGCACCCAAAAATTCGGGGTTTGGGACAAAAAAAATGGGGTCAGAAACCCAAAAAATGGGGGTTTGGGGCCAAAAATTGGGATGGGAGTGAGCCCACGGTTGGGCGCCACGTGCGCAGGGACAAGGCGGCCGCGCACTTCCTGCCACAGCTGCTCGAGGGTGAGCGAAAACCCAAAATTTGGGGGTTTGCACCCAAAAATTCGGGAATTTCAGCCGAAAAAATGGGGTCAGAAACCCAAAAAATGGGGGTTTGGGGCCAAGGTTTGGGGATTTGGGACAGAAAAATGGAAAAATCGTGGATTTTGGACTGAAAATTGGGGATTTGGGATCAAGGATCCAAAATTTGGGGGTTTGCACCCAAAAATTCGGGAATTTCAGCCGAAAAAATGAGGTCAGAAACCCAAAAAATGGGGGTTTGGGAGCAAAAATTGGGATGGGAGTGAGCCCATGGTTGGGCGCCGCGTGCGCAAGGACAAGGCGGCCGCGCACTTCCTGCCCCAGCTGCTCGAGGGTGGGGAAAACCCAAAATTTGGGGGTTTGCACCCAAAAATTCGGGAATTTCAGCCGAAAAAATGGGGTCAGAAACCCAAAAATTGGGGTTTGGGAGCAAAAATTGGGATGGGAGTGAGCCCATGGTTGGGCGCCGCGTGCGCAAGGACAAGGCGGCCGCGCACTTCCTGCCACAGCTGCTCGAGGGTGAGAGAAACCCAAAATTTGGGGTTTTCAACCCAAAAATTCGGGGTTTGGGACAAAAAAAATGGGGTCAGAAACCCAAAAAATGGGGGTTTGGGACCAAAAATTGGAGATCAGGAACCATAAATTGAGGGTCAGAATGCAAAATTGGGGATCAGGATCCTGAAATTAGTGTTTGGATCCAGAAATTTGGGGATTGAAACCCAAAATTGTGGTTTTAGAACTCAAAATTGGGGGTTTGACCCAAAAATTCGGGAATTTCAGCTGAAAATTTGGGGTCAGAGACCTAAAAAATGGGGGGTTGGGACCAAAAATTGGGGATTTGGGACAAAAAAATGGGGTACGAAATGGAAAAATCGTGGATTTGGGACTGAAAATTGGGGATTTGGGATGAAGGATCTAAAATTTGGGGGTTTTCACCCAAAAATTCGGGAATTTCAGCCGAAAAAATGAGGTCAGAAACCCAAAAAATGGGGGTTTGGGACCAAAAATTGGGGATTTGGGACAGAAAAATGGGGATTTGGGATCAAGGATCCGAAATTTGGGGGTTTGGACCCAAAATTGGGGATCAGAAATGATAAAAATTGGGGGTTTGGGCTCAAATTTGGGAGGAAATTTGAGCTGATATTTGGGTGGATTTTGGTGAAATTTGGGATAAATTTGGGCTGAAATTTGGGGTGAAATTTGGGTGGATTTTGGTGAAATTTGGGATGAAATTTGGGCAGATTCTGGTGAAATTTGGGATAAATTTGGGCTGAATTTGGGGGGATTTCAGTGAAATTTGGGATGAAATTTTTGGGGATTCTGGTGAAATTCGGGATAAATTTGGGATGAAATTTGGGATAAATGTGGGCTAAATTTGGGTTGTAATTTTGGGGGGATTTTGGTGAAATTTGGGATGAATTTGGGCTGAAATTTGGGTGGATTTTGGTGAAATTTGGGATGAATTTGGGCTGAAATTTGGGGTGGAATTTGGGCTGATTTTGGGCTGTAATTTTGGGGGATTTTGGTGAAATTTGGGATGAAATTTGGGATAAATTTGGGCTGAAATTTGGGGTGGAATTTCAGTGAAATTTGGGATAAATTTGGGCTGAAATTTGGGATGAAGTTTGGGTGGATTTCAGTGAAATTTGGGATAAATTTGGGCTGAAACTTGGGATGAAATTTTGGCAGATTCCGGTGAAATTTGGGATGAAATTTGGGGTGAAATTTGGGATAAATTTGGGCTGAATTTTGGGTGGATTTTGGTGAAATTTGGGATAAATTTGGGCTGAAATTTGGAATGAAGTTTGGGTGGATTTCAGTGAAATTTGGGATAAATTTGGGCTGAATTTTGGGTGGATTTTGGTGAAATTTCGGATAAATTTGGGCTGAAATTTGGGCTGAAGTTTGGGTGGATTTCAGTGAAATTTGGGATAAATTTGGGCTGTAATTTGGGTGGATTTTGGTGAAATTTGGGCTGAAATTTGGGCTGAAATTTGGGGTGAAATTTGGGTGAATTTCAGTGAAATTTGGGATAAATTTGGGCTGAAATTTGGGTGGATTTTGGTGAAATTTGGGATAAATTTGGGCTGAATTGGGGCTGTAATTTGGGGGGATTTTGGTGAAATTTGGGATGAAATTTGGGGTGAAATTTGGGTGAATTTCAGTGAAATTTGGGATAAATTTGGGCTGAAATTTGGGTGGATTTCAGTGAAATTTGGGCTGAATTTGGGCTGAAATTTGGGTGGATTTTGGTGAAATTTGGGGTGGAATTTGGGGTGGAATTTGGGCTGATTTTGGGCTGTAATTTGGGGGGATTTTGGTGAAATTTGGGCTGAATTTGGGGTTCCCGCAGTGGCGCTGTACCGGGAGCCGTCCCTGCACGAGGTCGAGGAGCCCCCCGGGACCCCTCCCCCACCCCCCGGTGACCTCTGACCCCGCGACCTCTGACCCCGCGACCTCGGCGCCGTGACCTCTGACCTCGGCTCGACCTCGACCCCTCAAAAAAAAATGAAACCCCGGGGGGGGGGCACCGAAAACCCTGAAAAAACGGAAAAAAATCCCAAAAAATCCCTCCCGAAAAATCCCAAAATTCCCACCCAAAAATCCCCCAAAAAGCTGAAAAAAATCCCAAAAAATCCCTCCCGAAAAATCCCCCAAAAAGCTGAAAAAAATCCCAAAAAAATCCACGGAAGAAACCCCAAAAATCCCTGGAAAAAAAAACCAAAAATCTCTCCTGAAAAATCCAAAAATTCCCACCCAAAAATTCCCCAAAAAGCTGAAAAAAATCCCAAAGAATCCAGGGAAGAAACCCCAAAAATCCCTGGAAAAAAAACCAAAAATCCCTCCTGAAAAATCCCAAAATTCCCACCGAAAAATTCCCCAAAAAGCTGAAAAAATCCCAAAAAATCCACGGAAGAAACCCCAAACATCCCTGGAAAAAACCCCAAAAAATCCCTCCAAAAAAAATCCCCAAAAAACCTGAAAAAAACCCCCAAAATTCCCTCCTCAAAGCCCCCAAAAAAGCTGAAAAAATCCCCAAAAATCCTTCCTGAAAAATCCCAAAAAATCCCTGAAAAAAAAAACCAAAATCCCTGAAGAAAACTCCCCAAATCCCTGAAAAAAACCCAAAAAATCCTTCATGAAAAATCCCCAAAATCCCTGGGAAAAAACCCCAAAAACCCACGAAAGAAACCCAAAAAATCGTTCCTGAAAAATCCCACATTTCTCACCCAAAAAACCAAAAAAAATTCCCATTGAAAAACCAAAAAATCCCTCCCAAAACCCTCAAAAATCCACGGAAGAAACCCCAAAAATCCATGGTGAAAAATCCCAAATATGCCCAAAAAATACCTCCAAAATCCCTGAAAAAAAAAAAACCAAAAATCCACGGAAGAAACCCAAAAATCCATCTTGAAAAATCCCCAAAAATCCTTCAAGAAAAATCCCGAAAATCTCCGAGAAAAAATCCCGAAAAATCCCCCCAAAAAAACCCAAAAAACCTCAAAAATCCTCCTGAAAAAAAACCAAAAATTCACGAAAAATCCCCCCAAAAAAACCCCAAAAAAAACCCCCAAAATCCCTCAAAAATCCTCACTGAAAAAAAACCAAAAAAATCCTGAAAAATCCCCCCCCAAAAAA